CAAAACGTCAGCTTTCCTGCTCCTCTGATGCTGCCTGGCCTGCTGTGTTCATCCAGCTCCACACTGTGTTATCCCAGGCTCCAGCATCAGCAGTTCTTACTATCTCTGTGGGAAAACAGGGCTTTTTCAGGATGACAGCCCATGACTAGTGGAGTTCTGCAAAGGTCAGTATTGGGATCTCAACTATTCACATTACACATTAACGATCTGGACGAAGAAAAGGAGGGGATTGTTACTAAGTTTGCAGATGACACAAAGATAGGTGGAGAGGCAGGTAGTTTCATGCTTGATCTGATTGTGGCCTCAAGTCCCCATTCCTGCTTACGTCCAATGATCACTGACTGTTATCAGTCAAGAATCTATCTTCTTCTGACTTAGATATATTTAAGGACCCCACCTACATCCTCTCTGGGGAAGAGAATTCCAAAGACTCATGAGCCCTTAGAGAAGAAAATTTTCTCTGATCTCCATCTTAAATGGTGACCCCTTATTTTTAAACGGTGCCCTCCGGTTCTGGTCTCTCCTACGAGTGAAGACATCCTTTCAGCATCCACCTGTCAAATCCCCTCAGCATCTTATGTGTTTCAATAAGATCTCAACCTTCTCAACTCCAATGCATATAGGCCCAATCTGCCCAACCTATCCATCTCAATTAACCCCTTCGCCCTGAGCGTTAATTAACTGAACTATCTTTGAATCTTTTTGAATGCATCACATTCTTTCTTAAATAAGGAGACCAAAAATGTGCACGATATTCCAAATGCGGCCTTGCTAAAGCCTTTTACAACTGTAGTAAAACCATCCCTACTTCTATATTCCATTTTCCTTGACATAAACCCCAACGTTCTATCTGCTTTCCTCATCACTTGATGTTCTATGTTAACCACCATGTATGCAACATTATTATTGAGCTTACCACTTCTATCCAATTCCCCTGTCTCTCCACTGGCAATCTTCTCCTGGCTTTCTGCTCCCATGGTTTGAGGCAAATGCTTCTGCAGTTGATGAGTCTCCTGTTGATGGTCGCAGCTCGGATGATCCAATGACGATAACCTCATATGTGACAGTGATTTATGAGCTGGCAAGGCCCAGGATGTTTGAGAAATTGACAATCTCTCAGTCAGCTCTGCAAAGTAAAAGTGGAGTATTATGCAAGGTTATAAAGTGCGTGACCAGTGAACAGCCCATTACACAACTCCTAATTTTTCATTGTGTTGAGGTCATTGAGAAATAAGACAGGCTGCCCAAAGAGATGCAAAGAGGCAATGCCCATGATAAGTTGAATAAATTGAAACAACACCTTCCCGGATTTGTAGGACACAGTGGAGATCAGGGTGTGGAGACTGGACGATTGTACAAGAGGATGCCTGAAGTTTTTTTCCACATTGGAAAAGATCAGTTGCCTGCCATTGATGGGATGGCAACAACCTCAAAATCACAGAATGATAAAATCACAAAATTGTTACGGTGCGGAAGGAGGCCATTCAGCTCACTGTGCCTGTATCAACTCTTCAGATGAGCAGCATCACCCAGAGCCAATTTCCTGCCTTTTCCCCATATCCCTTAGACAATGTTTCTCTCCAAATAATCATCAGTGACCCTCTTGAATACCTCAACTGAATCTGCCTCCACACTTTTCCACGCAGTGCATTCCTGACTCGAACTACTCACTGGGTGAAAAAGTTTTTGCACACTTCAACCTTGCTTCATTTGCAGGTCACTTTAGATCTATGCCCCTCTCGTTCTTGTCTTACAAATGGGAACAGTTTCTCCTTATTTACTATATCTAACCCGCTCATGATTTTGAAAACCTCTATCACATCTCCTCTCAGCTTTCTTTTCTCCCCAAAGGAGAAGGGTGACTCAGTGGCTCAGTGTTAGCACTGCCGCCTCATACTGCCAGGGACCTGGGTTCAATTCCAGTCTTGGGTAACTGTCTGTGTGGAGCTTGCATGTTCTCCCTGTGTCTGTGCAGGTTTCCTCTAGGTGCTCCAGTTTCTACTCACTGTGCAAAGATATGAGGTTTAGGTGGATTGGCCATGCTAAAGGCAGGATTATATGGATTGGGTGGGATGGTCTTCAGGGAATTGGTGCAGACTCAATGAGACAATTAGCCTTTTCCTGCACTATAGGGATTATATGAGGGAAAAGTCCCAATGTCTTCAATCTATCCTCATCTCTGGAACCAGCCTTGCGAATGATTTCTGCACTCTCTCTCTTTCTCCAATGCATTCACATCTTTCTGTGCCCAGAACTGTACACGATTCTCCAGCTGAGTTCTAACAAGTATCTCACCTACTTCACCACATGATAAAGAGATGGGGTCGTTGTCAAAGGAGGCTTCTTGTTGGGTGCCTGTTTGTGGACTCATACTAATGGGGGAGGTGTAGTATTCACAGCCCCATCATGAGGGAATGTCCCTGCTGTTATGTCAAGTGAGGGCCAATAAATGGAGAGCCACTCTGGGCCTCACTGAAAACTTTGAACACAAGGAAGCCAATCATCCCTTCAGACCTTTTCCACCATTCTACTAACTCATTTGTACCCAAATTCCATTTCCCAGCCTTAGTTGCTTATTCACTTAATCCTCATACTCAACCAAAATCTAACAATCCTAGGTTGTGAAAGTTTTGATTACTCCCCTCCAGCCTTGTCAGCTTCCTGGGAGAGAAATCCAGCAGACTTTCACTCCCCTTTGTGTGAAGAAGTGCTCCCTCACATCATCTCGAAAGGCTGGGCTCCAATATTCAGGTGCTACCTCCTATTCTGGACTCCCCTCCATTAAAGGAAATAGTTTCTCTCCATCAGCCCCATCAAATGCTTCAATCATTTGAAAATACCTCAATTACATCACTCAATTAATTGTCTATACTTAAGGAAGTACAATTGTAGTCCACACAACCCATCCCCATAATTTAACCTTTTTAGCCCAGTACCATTGTGGTGAATCTGCACAGTAAAATCTCAAACATTTTCTAACACTCTGACAGGTTTCTTAAATTTTTTTGTGGGATATTGGTGTCAGTGCTTGGGTAAGTATTTGTTGCCCATCCCTAACTGCCCTTGAACTCAGTGACTTGATAGAACGATTTCAGAGGGCACCTGAGAGTCAACCAAACTGCTGTGGGTCTAGACTCACATATAAGCCAGACCAGGTAAGGACGGCAGATTTTCTTCCCTAAAGGACATTATTTACTGTCACTTATATACAGAAAGATACAGTGAAAAGTGTTAAAATCCAGTATTATTTTGAGTTACAAAAGGAATAAAAAGAAATTACATAAATAGAGTTCACCCTCCATACAAGGGGTCTTCAAACATAACTCCAGGGCTTCTGAAAGATATCCCATGCCGCAAGGAGTCCCCACTCCGGGTACCATCTCCACCGCAGCCAATGATGCGCCAAATTCCTGAGTCCATGCTCCGGGCCTACCACAATCAGGAGTCCTGCTCCACACACCACCATCACTGCAGCCAACACCCCGCTCAGCACCTCTCTGTCGAATGTAATCTCAAATCTGAACGGCCTAATTCTGTTGTTGTCTGCCATGTTTCAAAATGCATGAATCAATACCAGAAGGCCTCAATCATCATGTCATTTTGAACAGATAAACATGTTTGTATTTCAAAGCATAGGACCCATTCACAGCTCATTGAGTCAACCACAGGGATGAATGTATTTACATCCTAGTTAGTGAATCAGATGTGTTATATCACAATTACTGAGAGCAGCTTTCAATTCCAAACTTACTACATTTCAATTCCAACAGCTTCTATGGTGGGATGTAAACCCATGAATCTGCAAACCTTTCTCCTGGGCCTCCAGATTAACACTACAATGTCATCTTCCCCCTGGGGGCTTAAGGAGAAATATCCATTCCCCAGTCGTATATGAACTCCAATGTCACAAGACAGCACTATGTGTGCATCAGTCCTGGTACAAGCTGAGTCTGTCAACAACTATGTGCAGTTATATGTCACCTGAATAGAAACATAAAAATTGGATTAGGTCATTCGGCCCTTCAGGCCTGCTCAATATGGTCATCGCTGATCCTCTGTCTCCACGCCATTTTCTCCCTACCCCTTGATGCCTTTAAACTTCATTGATATCTTTCTTGAATATATTCAGTGACCTAGCCTCCAGAGGTTTCTGTGGTGGAAAATTCCATGGGTTCATTACTCCCCGAGTGGGGAAGTCTTTCCTATTCCCATATTCCTGAGATTCAATCCTCTGGATCTAGACTCTTCAAATCAGGGGGAAATATCCTCCCTGCACCTAGTCATAACATTCTAACACGGCTGGATTTTGTTTCAATAAGATCCCCTCATTTTTCTAAACTCTCGTGACAAGGGGGTTCAGGTACATAATTCTTTGAAGATTGCATTACATGTAGACAGGATGGTTAGGAAGGCGTTTAGCATGCTTGCCTTCATTGCTCAGACTTTTGAGTATAGGAGTTGGGACGTCATGTTGAGGTTATACAGCACATTGCTGAGGCCTCTTCTGGAATACAGTGTACTGTTCTGGTTGTCCTGATACAGGAAGGATATTAGTAAGTGGAGAGGGTTCAGAAGACATTTACCAGAATGTTGCCAGTTATGAAGGGTTTGAGTTATAAGGAGAGGCTGGATAGATTGTGATGTTTTTCACTGGAACATAGAAAGTTGAGAGGTGATCTTATAGACGTTTATAAAATCATGAGGGGTATAGAAAGGTGAATGGCAGGTTTCTTTCCCTGGGTTGGGGGGATTTCAAGACTAAGAGGTGTATTTTTAAGGTGAGAGGAGTAAGATTTTAAAAAGACATGAGGTGCAATTTTTTTTTTACACAGAGAGTGGCTTGTGTGTAGAACGAACTTCCAGAGGAAGGGTTGGATGCAGGTACAGTTACAATGTTTAAAAGACATTCTGTTAAGAAATGTTTGGAGGGATATGGGCCAGGAAGATGGAACTAGTTTAGTTTGGGATTTATGGTCAGCATGGATTGGTTAATCCGAAGGGTCTGTTTCCATGCTGTATGACTCTATAACAATGACTACAAGTGAGTCAATGACTACTATATGAGTCAAACCAATCTCCCCTCATAAGACAGTCCTGCCATCCCCAATATCCCTAGCACCTCCCTCTACGCTGAATATTTTCTTTTCAGTGAGGAGATGTAATAGACTATACATAATAAATTTTCCCAGACTGCTTCACAACACAAATCATCAAACAAATTTGACATTGTGCCACATGAGAGCAGGTAGGTCAGCTGACAAAAAGCTCGGATAAAGAGCTCGCCTTAAGGAACGTTTTAAGAGATGAGAGGAGGTAAAGATAAGAAGGTATAGGGAAGGAATTCCAGAGCTAAGGAATAAGCAGCTGAAAGTGCAGTGGAGCAATTATAATTGGCGAGACACAAGGGATCTGAAATACAGAAGTCGTGAGTCTGCAGGTTCCTTCAAAGACCTGTCCAACTCGTTACACTCTCCTCCTCTTCCCCAGTGTTTTCTATTCAATAGCCTTTGATTTCAGTTCCGCTGAGGTTGCTGTGTTGTTCCTGGAGCAAAATGATCCTTTCCAAAAAAAAACAGAATTTGTTTCTATACATATGATTATAAGGCTTTTGTTGGCAGTTTTCTTTTCCCTCTGGGCTGTTGTTGATTCTATTTTCCGGATTAAGACTTTTTTATAATTTGAGCAATGGTGTGAGACTACAACCAAGGGATTTTTAATTAGGGGAGGTAGTGGTAATGTTACTGGGCTAGTACTCCAGCAGACCAACTTAAACGTTCTCTTGACGTGCGTTCAAATTCCACCATGGCAGTGTAACACTTGAATTCAATGAAAGAACACCTGGAATTAAAACAAAAAAAAAATCACTGGCCTGATGGAGACTACTATCAATTGTTGTAAAAACCCATCTGGTTCACTAATGTCCTTTAGCAAATCTGCCTACATGTGACTCCAGACTCACAGCAATGTGGATGACTCTGATCTGCCTTCTGGGCAATTAGGGATGGGGCAATAAATGCTGATCGAGCCAGCGACGTCTGCATTCTGAAATTGTATTCTTTTTTTAAAAATTTGTTTGG